AAACACAATTGGGTTTTTGTCCTTTTGTGGATCCCAGATGAGTTACAACTGAGGATCTGTGAGCTGGGTGGACTCTGCAAGACAAGTCCCCAGCGTCTCTCATGGAAGGGAGTCCACCAGCCTAACCCCGAGTTCCTCGTCTACTGTAAACAGCAGTTTAGAATATATTACCTGCGGGCTGGAGACATGGTTCAGTATATAAGTACCCATTGTACCTGAGTTCAGATGCCCTACACCCAAGTAAAGACTAGACACAGGGGCATGTGTTATAGCCTAGTGTTATGAGACAGAGATAAGTGGGCCCAGAAGCTCATTGGCCCACCAGCCTTGTTCAATCAATGCACTCCTGATGTGACTTGCAGGTGTAGTATTCTGTGCACCGTGCTGCCAGTTACAGGCAGAATTATATTCCCTTAAGACATGACAAAAGATGGACTCCAGGAACCCATGAATGTATGATCTTATCAGCAAACAGGGTCTCTCTGATGATGAAGTTGAGAGTCTCAGTGTGGACATAAATGTTGATCACAGGCAGGCAGTGGGGTGGGGGTGGGAGACACCACATGAAAATGGAGGCAGAAAATGGTGATATATGTGCCTGCTGGAGAAGACCAAGGGCTACCAGATACAACTACCAAGAGGAAACAAAGAGATACACATGAGCCTTCTGTACCGCCCTCCGGAGGTTCCAAGATATTTGCATTTGGACTTCCCATCCACTGCAGTCTGTAACTCTTAATCTCCATTGTCAGCTTGTGGATCAAGAAACACTTCAGTCATTAGGGAAGCACACCTTTGAGTGTGTCTATGAAGACACTTCCATAGACTCAGGGAAAAGATCCATGTGGGAGACATGATCTCATAAGCTGGTGTGATGGTCAAACTTCATTGAATCACCACGGAAACAGACCTCTGGGTGTATCTATGAGGATGTTTCTATCAGGATTTAACTGAAAAGGGAGGATTCACCTTGAACGTGGGCAATGCCATCTTACAGATGGGGCACGAGCCAAATTTTTGGAAGAAGCAAGAGGAGCATCAGCATTTGTCCCCCCTCACTTCCAACCCCAACCCCACTTGCTGACTGTGGGGGGGTACCATGTGACCAGCTGCCCCACACTCCTGCTGTCATGCCCCCAAACTATGAGTTAAAAGAAACCCTTCCCCACCCTGTTTCTTTTGTTGAGAATTTTGTTAGAGCACTGAGAAATCCTGACAAAGCTGAGACCAGAGAATGAATGTAAAGAGGGGTGGGGGGCAGAAAATCAAGAATGCCAGCAGCTCCCTCTCTTGCTTCCTACTTGGCTGAGATGTAAAGAGTCTCAGCCGCATACTCTCGCCATCATGGACTCTGCCCTCCATTCTCCGCTGTAACGGACTGGACTGGTATCCTCTCCAACCATGAGCCAAAATAAGTCCCCAAGTGGTTTCTGTCAGGCATGTTGTCATGGTGATGAACACGGTCTCAGAATTCAGATGCTGTGCTCCAAGTGGCAAAATCCCCTCTCTCCCCTTCTTGTCCCCCCTCCTCTTCCCCTCCCTTCTCCAGCTGCCCTAGTCATCCAGTCTTCAGGCCAGTCAACGAAGCAGCTACAAAAGATAGAGCCAGGCAGGATTTACAAAAATTCACCTGTATTCCAGCCAAAATATCTTTAAAAAGGAATCCTTTTGAAAGGGGAGACAGACTACATAAGACACAATACATTTAAAATATGTATTGAAATTATAAATTGAACATTTCCATAGGACTCTAAAGTACAAATCACAACATGAAAAGGCATTCACACAGCTCTTATACATCACAGTGCTAGTGGTACAGTGTACTCACATTTCAAAACCACAAACTCAATTTTCTCTCTCTCTCTCTCTCTCTTTTTTTTTTTTTTTTTTGTTTTTGTTTTTGTTTGTTTGCTTGCTTGCTTATTTGGTCTTACCACCACTCGTCAAATACAGAATGCATACGTGTGCACGCAGGCATGACTAACACATGCTTGTTTTTTTTATACAAGATTAAAATACACCCGAGGCAAAGTAAGCAAAGTATAAAAGAAAAGTCAGGCACGTGGCACACAGCTACACCTAACTGGAGGGCCCTGGGATCTTGGAAGACAGGATTATACAAGCCAGGAGGGCTAGAGACCATGGAGTTTCAACTACCAAAGGATTGGGCTCTCCTAGTCAAGGAGCAAATGACTGAACATAAGCCCTTCCCTCCTGGTTGAGGTTTTTGGCAAAAGCCAGTCACAATCTCTTTGCCTCACTGACCTTCATAAGGGTTTGGGTTCAATTTGAGGGAGAAACAAGCTTTGGTATTTTTTTTTTTTTTTTTTAAGGAAACCTTTGTGAAATTGTACACATGCAAAATAGTTTCCCTGTATGATTTCACTGTGATTTACATATACATATTCACTGGTATGTTTATTAATCTGTGGGAATCTGGGAAGTATATAAAATAAGCCCTCCCTCATTCTCTCCAATTCTCTAATTTTTAAAGGCAACCAAGGGAAATACTTCTATTTCGTAAAATAATCTTTCCCTTTTGTAACTCTAGTGGAAAAGATAAGTTCATCTGGAAGTCAGATGTTCAAGATTAAGAATCCTTCCTCCCAGGGGGTTGTGTTTACTGGGGAGCTTGGCCAGTGTCTCACACCTGTTTTATGGAACACTACACTGTAGAGAAGATTTGTTCTCCTCAAGATAAGTGTCAATGTGGGAAAGGTGTTGGTTCCATAGTCTGAGCTACTCCCAGGTGGTAAGGCAGGCTACAACTCATGGGATCCAAATCTTTGCCCCAGCAAGGAGCTGGCTCCCTGCTTGCCATGAACACCTATCCTGCCTTCGCCTCTGAAGGTGTCACCCTGGGGAGTATATGAAGCCACGGGCTGCAGCGCTGAGCTTGGCAAGGGTAAGCATACCCAGTAAGACTGTGGCATGGCCAGCCATGCAATGGCCTCAGATAACCCACTGGAGAGCGGGTCCTCCATGGACCCTACTAGATAGCCCCACAGCCTGTCACTAAGAGTCTTTTCCACAAGCCCAGGACTGAACTCACCTTCCATCAGGAACGTGGCCTGTCTCAGGAGACTCCCTTTTCAGTTCTGGCAAACCACACTGAGCAACAGAAATAGTTCTGCTACTGAGCACAGAACACTTCAGGCAACTCGGGACTGACAGCAAGACCAGTTGCATCTGAGGGCCATCTACACTATCCCATGCGTATTTCACATCTCACACAGTTCAAGCTGGAGGCCCACAATAAAGGAGTGTCGTGGTCTCTACTAAAAGGACTCTCACAGGGGACAATGCAAGTTTCTATATTTCAGTGTGATCTTGCTGGTGTTTCTAGAGGGAAGGGACAAGTTAGCTTTTTAATTACTAAATCCAACTGAGTAAGTGTGCTTGACACAAAGGCTCAGGGCAGACATGGGTTACAGAGGTGTGTGAACCTTCAAAAGTCTCAATCTTGAAAAAGAGAGCCTGAGCTGCAGTCTGGGAACACAGGCCCCCGGAAGGCTGCCACTACTACCACAAGGACAAATGCCATTGAACAATGAAACAGACAGCAGTGACTGATCAAGGCAAGGTGGGAAGGATCATGGTGGTGTAACGTCTGCCTGTGCACCCCGGAAACAGGGCCCAGGATGGTTGCCACCTCTGATGGGCGTTTTAAAAGGGTGGTGGTCAAACAGTTTCACATACAAAGTGTGGGCTTGGGGTCTCAACTTCAGTCACCGACTCACATAAAGTTGTCATCCCTTTCCAGAAAATCCAGTCCACCTTTGCAACAGAGGCTCAAATGAAGGTCCCAGAGTTCACATTGATAAGTGAACTTTTAAGTTTCAACCCCCAAGGACTTTCTGAGTATGGTTTTGACGTGGACTGAGCTTCTAAATGGCTTTCTCTTAATAAAGAAAATCAATACCAGAAGGCAAGAAGCCAGTAGTTATTTTACCTCATTCACTGTCAATTGAAAATTAAGAAAACAAAGTGATTTCTGGGCAGGCAGTGTCTGCTAGGACTTGACATCACCCAGAAGTGCACTCACACAAAGACAATGTGGCTGAGATGACAGGACTCAGGGTTTGCTTTACTCCTTTGTAGGATGCTTAAGTAAGCCTTCAACCTTCCCCACTGCAAACCTCTACATCTCCACCCTGCTCCAGGGAAGCATGCTGGGCTCTGAAAGTCAATTCTAAAAGAAAACACTCTCTCCCATTTTCAGAGTCAATTGGTCTTATTATCTTGCACTCTGTTGACATGGAAACGCACAGCCCCCTGAAAGAGTGATTCACAAACTCCCCACAGCAGCCTAATTAAGTGAAACAGAGGGTCCTTCCCTCCCTCCTTCCCTCCTTCCTTTCATTCTTTCTCTCCCTTTTTTTCCCCTAGCAAGAACAAACTGGTTAACTACAGGGTTGGGCCTGTGTCCTGTGAGTCACATGATTTTTCAAATTACCCAAAGCATTTGAACAATGCAAAGACTTCAGAGAGTTCCCACCCAACTTCCAAGAGTTTCCCAGGGATGGATGACTTGAACTCTCCTCTCCGCCTACCTGAAGAGTAGGGCAAGGAGGCAAAGCTGAGTCATTCTCCGAGTAAAACATGTGGTGTGAAAACATTCAAAGGCATTTGCCACCACCTGGGAGAAGGGGGACAGAAGGAATGAGCCCTGTGAGCTGACTGGAGAAGGGGGGTAGGGAGGGAGGGGGATGTAAAGCCAGAGACCATCCCTTAAATGTGTTGGTATCTTCAGAGAAATGCAACAGGGGGCCCATGTGGGTAACAGTACACAGCTCACAGCATTCAAAAAGTAATTACAGCAGGTTCCAAGAAGAACACAAAGTGTGCATAAGGCTTTCTGTAGCTCCTGAAAAAATGATCAGGCCACAAAAGTCATTTGTCTATAACTCCATAAAATGCACATTTCAAAAAAGGCATAGGATGGTTTATACGCACCTTGTTGATTTTCCCTATTCAGTTGACAGAAAGAAAAAAAAAAAGCCTTCTAAAAAGGATTTTACTAAATGCCTTTAGGAGTAAAAACAGTTGTCACAAACAGAGAGATTTTCTCAAGTCAGATAATAATCAGGTGCTGGCTGAAGAGAGTTCTAAATCTTGAAGACTTCTCCTGACAACTTGGTGCCATCTTGAAGCCAAGGTGTCCCTTTGTCTGAGTGGGTCTTGTAAGCTCCCATGGAACATTTCCAGTCTATGACCAGGGGGATAAAACTGCCTCAGGTGCAGCTGATGCCACCTCAGGCCAGGTCTGCAGACACAGAAGGACTCTGGGATGAGCCCCACCCACTTGCACTCTGCCTCCCCCACACCCCGGAGGCCACACCCAAAGCCTCTGCCCACTTGCCAAGGTCATCCCTGAAATCTCTGCAGCTCAATGGGGCACATAAGGCAAGAAACATGCTTAGTGATAAAGGGGTTGGTGAGGGGTAGGGGAACCACATGTCCCGAGGCAGCGTCTGTTCCAGCATCACGCAGTCCTCTAGGTGGGCAGTGGGTCATCGTCCCCTTTACTGCACTTACATTTGCAGCAAAGGACAAAGGGTGTGGCCAGGAGCAAGAAAGGGGGACGCCACTAAGAGCAGGGAGCCCAAATCCAGCAAAAATTCCCACCACCTTGAAAGGAAACAAAGAGGAAAGGTGAGGATGAACAGTTCCACAGCCCAAGTTTAAACCACACCACCACCCACCATTCCATCCATACTTCCAATCATAATCTATCCATCCATCCATAGGCCCATCATACAGTTTGCCTGCCCATATAACTATCCATCGTACAAATTCATCTATTCAACTACCCATCATCTATGCATTCATTCATCCACTTATAAGCATCCAACCATCCACTGATCCATGCATGTATCCATCCACCATCCACACTCATTCAACTATCTAATTCTTTGACAGTCACCCATGTACACCCCTCTCCTGCCATCTATCCAACCAGCCATTGTCTCAACTACTTATATTCCTTTCTCATTGTTCTCCCTCCCTTCCTTCCTCTTCTCCCTTCACAACCCCAACCCCATCCATTTTTCTGTGCATTCAGCCAATTGCTGATTTCTCTTGAGATACCATCATTAGTTAGACCATAGCTAGCTATTACAAATACAAACACATCTGAGATCAGGACACCCCAGAAGAACACTGTCTAATGGAAAGAATATGATTTCATCAAAGGCTAAATAAAACACCTCACAGAAAGTGGGTTCAGTTCCAGGTAAAGATCATCCAAGAAATAGAGCCCTACCTTTGGCTAGAGGACAGAAAATGGCTGATATGACAAAGATACCCAGATGGTTTAGTGTATAAGAGGGCAAGCACAAGAACCCTCAAATGTTGGAATAAGAATGACAGGGACATGGGACATTAGACATTATATTGAGCTACCCTTGCCTTTCTGGACTTTAAAACCAAACATGGACTGTTATGTATTATCACTATTTTGTTTTTCAAGACAGGGTTTCTGTGTAGCCCTGGCTGCATGGAACTCTCTCTCTGTAGATGATGCTATCCTTGAACTCACAGAGATCAACCTGCTTCTGCCTCCCTAGAGCTGGGATTAAAAGCATGTGTCATCCCCTTTCTAGGTATAACTGGCAGATAAAGACCAACTGATGCTTACATCAGCCAGTGGGGCTGTTTCAAATGAACACAGTCTTTTCCCTAGCCTTACTTAGATCAGCCCCAGTCTTCCTTCTGAATTCTGAAAGCCGAATGTGGAATTAGACTGCCACCTAGTGCTAGAGATGATAAATACATGACTTCCCAAGTCTGTTTTCTCAACTCTGCAATTGTCAAATGAAAGCATCAAACAGTTGATAAATACATGACTTCCCAAGTCTGTTTTCTCAACTCTGAAATTATCAAATAAAGCATCGAACAGTTGTGAAGGAAAGAATCCCTTCACTGGGACTTTTCCTTGAAACAAACTACACACATTTAGATACATCACAACGCATGCAAGCATGTACACACCCACATTTATAAATAAGATCACATTTGATAAAAGACATCACACTGCAGGGATAAAATGAGGCAGTGAGGATGCTGAGCCTCAGCCAGGATGGATGCTCATTTGATAAACATAATATTGGTGGTGGGACGGCACTGAGTAGGTCAGGTGATGTGTTAAAATCAAATGAAGACTCTAGGAGCTCGAGAGAAGGTTCAGCCTGTAGGACTGCACACTGCCCCTACAGAGGCCCTGAGATGGGTTCCCGGCACTGGTGCTGAGAAGGCCAGAAACAAATGCCTGTGATTCCAGCTCTACTGGATCTGACATTTCCATTTTATATCTGCACTCATCTGCACACACGCGGACCCAAGTATGCAAATGATGTTTAAAAATATATTTTTAAAAGCTCACATGCATACTTATATTTTTGGCCCCTAAGAGCACAGTGGTCACCTGAGGTCATCTGGAGCTCCCAGCTGAGCAGCAGCAAGCAGGTGACTGACTGCCAGCCTTGAAGGAGCCCCGTCCTCCAATCAAACTCATGAGCACATGCTCACACTCTGCACAATAAGGCACCATCTCAGCTCCTCGACTGCCATGGATGTATTTGCATGCTGTTTGGTAAGCTGACCTACCAAGCCACTGACTGTTGGTCATTAGTGGATGCCAAAATCACCAGAAGGAGAAAAAAAAGCACAAAAGCAAGTGACATAAAAACAAAACCATTTCACTCAGTGAGCACTGACATGTGTTTTGATTGCATTCTGTCACCCCTGAGACTGACAATAATGTTTACTTTGAATCACAAGGCGGGGCAGGAACAAGCTGACCAAAATTAACCATAGAGGTCTTGGAGGACTGAGGACAGAGACACAGGAAGTAGTGTGGAGAGGGCTTAGAGAGGGTTTTCATCCTTTTGGACAGAAGAATAACAGAGATAGGGAGGTCACCAGTCATGTCTCTGCCATCATCAACCGAGACTCAACTTGTAGCTCATAAGATGTCTTCCTGTGCAGTTAGCAGCAGAGCCAGCCAGATACCACCACCTTCTACTCCTGTTTATCTCAAAAGAAGACCTTGTCAACCAGAGTAGACATGTATGAGCATGTGAGTGTGTGTGTGTGTGTGTGTGTGTGTGCGCGCGCGCGCGCGCGCGCGCGTGTACGTGCATGTATGTGTGGGGGCGCGTGCCCACGTGGATAATCTCAAGACAAGGTAAACTGTGCAAAGCCTTGAAAAGATAAGGGCGTTTAAAAAAAATACATAGCATGCAGATGTGTTATAATGGAGCATATGACAAGGGGGCACTGAGTAAAATGTAGTGCGTGATACTTTATGTTTAGAAAACTGATAAAAAGCTTGCTGCAATGTCTCCAAGGAGTAGAGCACCCCCAAATCTGCAAGAACTAGGCTACCACTTAATAACAAAGAAGTGTAAGAAAGCAGGAACCCACAAAATAAACATACTTTATACTGAGGACAACACCCACAAACACTACAGTCACAGCATGCTAGACTTGAGGTCAATCATGACTGCCACAGATAGATAAATTCCTGGAATCCCAGCTCTTACGAAGTTCTCAGCAGTGGCCCCATCTGTGGCAATGGGAAGTCTGCCTGGCCTGTTTCCAGGGTTGGTGGGCTACGAGCACTGCCTGCTCCCAAGTAACACTTTACAGGGAGATACCCTCAGCCTTGCTGCAGACACTCATAATTGTGGGTTTCCATCCCCATCAACATGGAACTAATAGTGCTAGGGAAGTGCAGTTACAGTGAGACCCACTCCCAGCTCTAGGCTAATGTGCAGAGAGTGGGTCTCTGTCTTTAGATGGACTGGCACAGTGACCTCAGAGGACTCCTAGGAAAGAAGCCTCTTCCCCTGCAACTAGGGAGTATTGCAAACTCCACTCCTAACACCTTTGTAGTTCCCCACTTGAGTGTAAATAAAATCCATGTCTGCTAGGTCCCACAAAACCCTTAGAGATGCGGCCTTGCTAAAATCCTAGATTAAACTCATAGCCCCTGTCTCATTACCCACATGGATTCACCCTTCCACAATTCAAGCAACCCACCTGCCCTGTCCTCTCTCCTTTCCCCCACATACACGGGTCTACTTCTTGACACTCAGAACTAGCACTAAGACACAAGGAATCTTCCCACACATGTCATCTAAGTCCCCTTCCGCACCCCTCATTCACAGCTGCTGTATGTCATGGTGGGTCTGTCAGTTCATTATGTCTACCCTTTGCACCTAACAGAAGGCAGGCTCCATAGAAGAATGTCTTACACATGTGGCTGGCACACAGGGGACAAATACCACTTAATATATAATTCACCACTGCTGAATCAGTTGACCCAAAAGCCATTTATAGACTTTGTAGACAACAGCGATATTCCATTACTTTCCCCCTCATCCTTTTCTGTTAGCAACTTGCTTGCCTCTCTCAGGACAGCTCTAGACAGCTCTTCATCAAGGACCAATAGTAACAGTGTGGTCACCAGGCAGGCCTGGTCATGACCAAAGTCACAGCTAAGTAGCAAGTCTGATGCTATGCACCAAATGTATACATATTCGAACACTGGGCCAGGACCATCAGCATCACTAGAAAGTCTTCTAGAACACACACACACACACACACACACACACACACACACACACCTTTTGAGATCAAAATTCAGGTAAGCAACCTCTTACCTGTGTCCGATGCCAGATCACTGATGCCCGGGAGTGGCCCAACTTGTTGCGACAAGGCCCCTTGTCATAATGTATCAGGAGGAAGTCATCCTGTGAAGGGCAGATAAAGGTCTACGGTGAATGTTGGATTATGGCTGTCAGTATGTTTTATATTCCAGATACAGTAGTATGTGGACACAGGCAAGAATAACAGTGAGGTCAATGTGCTGAAACCTGGGTGCTGTTCCTCTGGGCCACCAGCCCTTTCCACAGAGCAGCCAGAGGAAAACTGTTAGCCTCATCCCACAGAGGGGATCGTGGGGCCAGATTTCAGTGTTAAGCCAGAGTATAGTGGCATCTCTGGAGCCTGTACCAACACAGGGGACTGAAGAGGGAGATCGGGTTTTCTCTGGGCCTGCCTGTATCGGTTCCCACGAGACCAGACCAGCTCCTACCAGGCCAGTCCTCCCTCAGTTCAGATTTTCAGAAACATTTTGCAAGGTTTCCCTTTATTTGAGAACCAGTCCAGCAACTACCCTCTACCCACAAGTTCTCTCTGTTTCCCAGTGCACAGAACTGTCTGTTCCATGTCTCTCTCTACGTGGCCTCCCCTCACACTCAGTACAGTCACTTCCAGACTGTCAGGTCCCTGGGCTGAATGCTCACCGTGGTGGTTACATCTGAGAAATCTGACCACTCAGGGCACCTGGATATGTATCAGCACCACTGATATCGGGGGTCAGGAGGCCCTGCCTGCCCATCACCAACAGGAAATGGGTAGGAAACGGTACCAGCATGTCAATACCCTTTGCTCATTTAACCAAGGCCACCAACAGGAAGTTTCTCCTTAAGTAAAAGAGCAAATTATCATAAGGTCCAATGTGACTGAAAGGACAAGAAAACCAGGGAAAATGAGGAAACCACCCACCAATTTCTGGCTCCTCAGGTCAACTCTGCTGGAGCTAGGGGATAGCAAAGCCACACTGTCCCTCAGGGCAGTGCAGACGTAAACCCTGGCTTTTATGATGCAGTTGCAGGCAATGACCACTGGAGGCAGACGTTCAGCAGCTGTCTCACCACCCCTGGACAGGTGAGCACAGTCTCTTCTAGCCCCACCTGGCCACTTCTGTCAGCTGTGAGACTCCTCCTGGACTCCTCATTGCCCTTTCCTCCACACTGATGTTAATGGGAGAATAGCAGAAGTGCACTTGTCTCATTTTGCCAAATCTGCCTATCACAGCATCTTGTCTTGTGGCTGTCTAAAAGGCTCTGAACTCCTCTTTTAAAACACACACCAAGCCACGTGGCATCAGTCACGGGAAATCTTTACTACTCTCCATCCTTGAAAGTAGGTACTGATTGGTTATCCAAACCTTCCAGAAAGTTGGTGGCAGGTGAAGACTCTTGGCCTCACTCCACAGATTCTGCGACCACACTGGCAGAGGTGTCACACCCAATCCCTTTGGCTATAAGACTATTGAAAAATAATGAACTTTCAACAAGAGCCTCAAAATAGAAAAAGAAATAGGCTGAATCCTGTTTCCGGACTGGGGGAGGGATGTCTCTCAGGAAGAGTTCACAACTTCCTGACAACTTGTCAGGCTGCCTCAAAGCAGAGACTGGAGCTAAGACAACGATGGGGGTGGGGGGGCACACCTTGGCCAAGGCTGCTATGATGTCTTATCTCTTGTCCTCTATTTCAACCTAAACCTCATGCTGGCACTTGAAAGACTAAGTCTGTGAAGGAGGGACTTCCCTGTCAGTTAATCTTCTCTGAAAGTGCCCTTTCACACACACACACACACACTCTCTCTCTCTCTCTCTCTCTCACACACACACACACACACACACCACATACACATGCACACACATACAACAAAAATGCACTCCACAACGCACATGTTCACACATACATACAAATATTTGTGTCTCTAATGTCCTCGGAGGTTTTTGTTTGTTTGCTTGCTTTAAATTCAGTCAAGCTGATGCCAGAAAATGATAGCCAGTGGGTCTTAAAGACATGATTTCACTGTGATGTTTAAGTCTGTGAATGAAGCTCTTAAGCTTACCATGGTTTCCCACTAAAATTAGCCATCAATGCATCCAGAGCAGATATAAATAGACCAGTCAGGATGTGCAGTTCAAGCCACTTGAACTATTGCTGACTACAATGCTTAACAGGTGATTTTTTCTTTATTTAAATTTGAAACAACTTTGTTTTACATGTCAATCCCAGTTCCCTTTCCCTCCCCTCCTCCTCTGTCCACCTCAATCCCTATCCCATCCCCTTTCTGCTCCCCAAGGAGGGTGAGGCCTTCTATGGGGAGTCTTCAAAGTCTGTCATATTTGGAGCAGGGCCCAGGCCCTCCCCCATGAGTCTAGGCTGAGAGAGTATCCCTCTATGTGGAATGGGCTCCCAAAGTCAATTCGTATACTAGGGATAAATACTGATCCACTAGTAGAGACCTCATAGACTGCCCAGTCCTCCTAACTAACACCCACATTGAGGTCATCTGGGTTAGTGCTATGCTGGTTTCCCAGCTATCAGACTGGAGTCCATGAGCTCCCTGTTGTTCAGGACAGCTGTTTCTATGGGTTTCTCCAGCCTGGTCTTGACCCCTTTGCTCATCACTCTTCCCTCTTTGCAGCTGGATTCCAGGAGTTCAGCTCGGTGTTTAGCTGTGGGTGTCTGCTTCTGTTTCCATCAGTGACTAGATGAAGGTTCTAGGATGGCATATAAGGTGGTCCTCAATGTCATTATCTGGGAAGGACATTTAAGGTAGCCTCTCCACTATTGCTTAGATTGTTAGTTGGGGTCATCCTTGTAGATCTCTGGACATTTCCCTAGTGGCAGATTTCTCTTAAAACCTACAATGGCTCCCTCTATTATGGTGTCTCTTTTCTTGCTCTTCTTTATTCTTCCCCTGACTCAATCTTCCTGTTCCCTCATGTCCTCCTCTTCCCTCCTCTTCTCCCCTTCTCTTTTTCCTAACTCCCTCTCCTCTCCCCCCAACCCTGCTCCCAATTTGCTCAGGAGATCTTTAACAAGAGATTTTAAAGCACTATTTTAAGGACAGTCTTTTAAAGTATACATAATCAAATAATCAAACTCTTCCAAAACCAAAGTCCTAATATCATTGTGGATAGTTGTCCTCCTGCTCAGCTCCAACTGTCAGCTTGACATAGCCTAGAGTTACCTGAGGAGGGACTTCTGATTGAGGTTTGCCCAATCAGAGTGACTTGTGGGCCTGTCCATGGGGCACTTTCTTGACTGTTAATTGATGTGGCAGAGTGTAGCCCACTGTGGGCAGCACCATTCCCTAGGCAGGTGATCCTAGCCTGTATCAGCTAGCCAGGCTGGGAGTGAGGCAGCGAGTAGCATTTTCCCACAGATCCTTCAAGTACCTGCCCTGACTTCCCTGTAAAATTTAAAACACAAAAAAGTTAAGAAATGGAAAAATCTTTCCTGAATTGCTTTTGATCAAAGTATTTTATCACAGCAACAGAGAGGAAACTAGAGAGGGGGGCTGTCAGAAGCTGCTCTAGCAGCAATAACAGCAACAGCAGCGACTTGACCTAGAGAGTGAACTGGAGATGATTGCTAGATTAAGCTAGAAACTTCTATTTTGGCGGTCAGCAAAGGGAATATGTATTTCTCTTCCATGTAGATGAGGCACAGACCTTTCCAGACACCTAGCATGACTTACTGGTTTACTGTGTGTACTTTCATTTTACCTGCTGTTCTACTGAGTGTGCTTTCTAACACACCCAAATTCTGGAATTCATCGAACTTCCAAGTCCTGTTTTGGTGGTGTCAGGAGGTGGGCCTCTGGGCGTGACCAAGTTTAGATGAGATAGAACATGAGGATGTGTCCCTGACAAGAATAGCATCTTTGTGGGGAGACCTGAGCTTGCTCTTTCCAACATGGCCCTGGGAGGAGGACCAGAAAGGAGCCTTCATCAGGACCCCACCTGTCAGCTGTCATAGTCTAGCTCTCCAGCACCTGAACTGTGAGAAACGGATGTCTGCTATTTGTCACCCAGTCTGTGATACCCTATCATAACATACAGTCTCATCAGATTTGGCCCTAAAGACTGAGACTCTAAGACACAAAGCACCTCTTCTTTTGTTGGGAACAAAAGGATGTGAGCTATCTGCATGACCGAGACCATCCCAGCTTCTTCCAAGGCCCTTAAGATAACACATGTCTTAGCATTCAGCCATCTGTACTGGCCTGCCCTTGAGGTCCTGACAATACATGCCATTAGCTGCAGCTACTAAGAGCACCACCTGTGCATATTCACTATGTTCCCTTTTAAAAGGGCCCTGACCACCTCCCATCCTCTTCCTCTCTCTCTTTCTCTCCCTCTCTCCCCTCCTCTTTTCCTCTCTCCTGCCAGTCTCCTCACCCTCACCCCCCATCCCTTTCCCCTTTTTATGATCACTTTCCCTAATAAATAACCCCTCTGCTTGAACCCTATCTTACGGCGTCTTTCTCTCGCGAACCACTTTTCTTAAATTACATGTACCCCATCCTTAGGTCCCATCTCCACAGAAGAAGTGACACTTGTGCTCAGAGAAGAGCTTCACTGTGATTGTGGCTCCTTGTGCACACAGGATTGTGTTACACCAGGAAGTGTTTTCCCCAAATTGCAGTGTGCTTAAATATGACTAAAATAAACTGCCTGGGGTAAGACTCTAGATGTCTGAACCAGCACCAGCTATGCAGTTTGAACCAGCAGCAGCTATGCAGTCATGCTGAACCATATTTCCTTCTTGCCACACATGGAGGTTGACTCTGCCAGCTCTGGTGTTTTTTCAGAGACCCCCAACACTTTTCAACAGAAAGCTGAACCCAAAGCCTGCCCTAAGCTTTTATACCCAGCTAGTGTGGCCAAGCTTCACCCCAGGGAACCAAGATTCCTATAAACACAGAAGAATCATCCCTGCTGCTACTTCCTTCTGTCACCAGCATGGCCTCCAGCTTCCCCCAGGGTAAGTGCCCCCAGTTTCCTCTCCCACATATCTGGACCCCGGGGTTCACGGCTGCCATGCCATGTTGCTCATGGCTCCCATGTGAGGCTGTGCAGTACTCACATCCAGAGACTCCAGGCAGTACCAGCAGAAGGCATGCTTGCAGTTCTTACACATCATCTGTGCACAGCCCTCATCCCGCTCGATGTACACCCTGCACTTGGGGCAGCGCTTGATGGGCGCATCACCCTCCTCCATCTTGAAAGCAGAGCTGTGGGAGACACGGTGTGAGAGTTCTGCAATGAGGATCAAGAGAGACCCAGCAGTAGGGCTGTGCTAGGAGCACCTCCCTATAGCAGGGATCCCAGACCTCTTGTTACTAAAGACAAAGAAACAAACACCCCAGAAAACAAACAGCCAAAACAGAGCAGAGCTGCCTGACTAAGGTAAAAACAAAACACAAAGAAAAGGCAACACCAACACATATCTAACTTTATATTTCTATAGAAAAACTAATATATAGTGTGAAGCTTTATACCAGAGAGAGCCTGGGAAATGGTGCTGGGGCTTCAGAAAGGTGTGCATTTTCCAAAGAGCAGATAATACATTTTGTGCACTTTGGTCTTGTCAGGAAAAGAAGTCATAAGCATACACACACAAAGATACACAATTGCTTCCAAAGATCTACCTGGACTGTTTATATTTCCCTGAAGACCTAGGATGGATGTACAATGGTTATTATAGCTTTAGGTCTGGTGGCAAATGCTGGCTCCTCCACAAACCAGCTATAGGACACCTCTACAAGCCTTAGTTTTCAGTGTGAGCCCAGGAAAGTATCCTGCTTGTGCCAAGTAGCTGTTGTGGTTTGGATGAGAACGGCTGCCATAGGCTCATACATTTGAATGCTTAGTCATCAGGGGAGTGTTTGAATAGGATTAGACAGATTAGGACATGGCCTTTTTGGAGTAGGTGCGGCCTTCTTGGAGGACATAAGGAGTTAGGCTTTAAGGTTTCAAAAGCTCACACCATGCCCAGTGTCTCCCTCCCCAACCTTCCCACCTACAAATTAAGATGTAAAGCTCTTAGCTACCATTCCAGCACTATGCAGATCTGCTTTCCACCATGGTAATCATGGACTAACCTGCTGAAGCTATAAGCCAGCCCCCATAGATGCTTTCCTTTTTAAGAGTTGCCTTGGTCATGCTAAGACAGCAACTGGTGAAAAGTAGCAAGAAGTTAATACTGTTAATTAATGTTTCAAAAGTAAAACAGGTATTTAGGCATGGCTAAGGAAGACATCCATATCAGTTTTATTTTTTGTCTGTTTGTTCTTTAAGATGGCTATTCTCTTAAATAAAACATCTGGAAGAAAAATGATAAAGGCCAAGAGAAGATACCATACATTCCAGGGGTACAGCCTGTCTGATGATTATCAGAGAAAATTCCTCATGATCATGTCCTCTGGTTTACTAAGTGTCATGAGATACATGAATTAGGTTCTGATTTGTCCACTGATAGAAATTCTGGAAAGGTGCCTCAGTGGAAGGGTGTTTGCCCTGGAAGCACAAGGACTAGAGTTTGGATCCCAAGAACCCATGTAAAAACTGGGTTGGTGTGGCATCTGTCTGTAACCTCAGCCCTAGAGACAGGTAAGGACAGAGTATCCCCAGGCAAGCTGGCTTGCTAGTCTCACTGGTTAATGAGCTCTAGGTTCAACTGAGAGACCCTGCCTCAAAATATAAAATGGAGTATAATCCAGGAAGATAGTGCCAAATTCCACCTGAATGCCAGGATTACAGCATGTGCCATCAACTCTGGTGTGTGCATGGGGTGGTTACTGAACATGGGGCTTACTGCATGCTAGATAAACAGTCTACTGACTGAGTTCATCTCCAGCCCCTGAGGAAGGTTTGCAGTATGGAAAATGCTTGGGCTAGGAGGCTTCTTTATTCCACTAGAAAGTACCCTTCGTTCCTGTTATTCCAACTAAGAAGCAAACTTACTAGGGTTTACTCCTAGGGACAAACTACTGGACTGCTTCCCTGAGTAGATGCCTCATTTGCTTTTAGCTCTCCCCTCCCTGGAAGTCAACCTCTGCCAATTACTCTTAATCAAGCTCCATAGCAAGGACATTTCTTCCTTGAGTCTGGAAGCTTCTATAACCTGGCATCTAAGTTCAGTGGTCTTTGCTAGTATCAAACACCAATGTATGCATAGCCCCTGATGGCAGAAGCATCAGCCACAGGAACAGGGACCTACAACATAGCAAGTCCTGGATGGTGGTTCATGAATTCAAACTGCAGCAGGAAAGCAAAGGATGGCATCACCAAGCCTAACAGAAGAGATGAGAACCCTGTGCAAAGGGCAGCAAGAAGGCTCTGGAAAAGGGACATGGTGGGAGAGGGACCTAGTCTGGCGACAGTGTACAAAGTGAAGATGACAGAGGATCTGTGTGGAGCATGGCTAGGGCATCTTCCTGAAGATGGGGAAACAAGGAAAACCAGGGACTGGCGGGCAGTCATGATAGTCTCTTCAGCAGCATGGCCACTTTGCCAAGCTGAACAACATGACAGTATGGGGAGGGATGCCCCTGCTATAACCAGTTTCTTATGGTTCACTTTGTTAAATTCTAACGTTCATGGAATTAATTTACAAAGTTCACCTACGCAAACAGCTGGGCTATTTGACTGGAAGGAGCAAGAGGGAAGAAATTGAGTAGTGTTTTGGCCATATTCTAATAGACTCAATTTTAAAGAGATACGTACGGGTCTCTTAGCTTCAGGTACCTATAGACCTATTAGTAATCTTGCTTGTTGCCAGCACTCACTATCACCTTTTTTACTTATTCCTACACTCTTATTTCAGATCACCTCCAACAGAGGTTAGCTGTGGGAAAATTGCAGGTACCAAAGCATTAACCTAGGTGTGTATCTCACAGTGCATCTATCATTTCATGGAGGGTGTAGACAGAGGTTCTTACATATCTTTACATTCCCAGAAACTTGTGTTGCACCTGGCAAATGTTCTTACAAATAAACCATAGGTAGGAAAAACTCAGGAGGTAGACTGTGTACTGAGGACAGTGATTTATGGTCGCATGCTCTCAGGTGACACTTTCCAGATACACCTTCTGCCAGTCATAGCCCCAGCCCATGGCTCTCATCTCCCAGCCCATTCATTCTTCCACAGCTCCTGCATAGCTGTGCCCTACCTGGTCTCCCCAGGAAGGAAGGTGATTGGCATGGTATCAGGGCAGCCTTGGCCAGGGTGCCAGCGGGCTTTGCAAGCAGAGCAGAATTCCATGTCGCAAGCTTTGCACTGCACCAGCTGGGGGGTCTGAATCCCTATGTCCTGGAGTTGGCACACGGCTTGGCAGGTGGATGCTGGGCACCACGTCCGGCAAGGGTCAAAAAGCACCTCTAGCACAAGGACACAGAAGATAAAAATCAGGTTCAGAATACCACAGACACTGGAGAGGGTGAGTATGGAGAAGACCCTCTGGGGCACCAACAAAGGCAGTCAGAATGGAGGCCATCCAGGTGACCCAGCCAGACACACTCCAGATAAACTGATAATTTACTCCCCTCGTGTTTATCCAACTCCACCCAAGCCTCTCTCAGCTTTTCACCCTCGGGCCTGGTATGCCAAGGGCTCCCGCACCCGCCATAGTGCTCACCCAGCCCAGTCTCTCTGAGTGTTGACATAACCAGATCCTTGTCTGACCCATCCCCCATGTTCCCACTGACAGCCTTGTCTTCAACCCTCACCACACAGTGTCAGGTTCACACATAGCCACTTGCAAATCTTGTTGGAAGGTGCAAAGGAAGGAGGGAAGGAAAATGTTGCATTAGTCTTATGGCCTTTCTTCCTGTCTGTGGTGGCATACAGAACCATGGCTTTTGCGATGGCATTTCCAGAACTAGGAGTCTTAATTTGTTCGTAGTTAGTCTTATAGTAGGGTGATCCACATGCCCAAGACAGATTCTCTTGCCAAGTCTAAACCTGGGTAAAACTAGCACTTTGCATTCCCTGCAGATTAAGCCCAAGCTACTGCAAAGCCTTTCTTAATGGGACTGGTCAGGAAGTTTAGTTTAAAAACAGGATATGGTGGCATTCCTTGCTTCACATCCTGATCCAAGCCCTGCATTTATAACTCGTCCTGAGTTGCCCTCCATGGTGAGCCAGCCCAGCATCTCACTTCCCCTCCTCTCTAGTGGACTTGGAACTTTCACCAGATAAGGTAGGTGACACCAACAGGAGGCTAACATTCTGACAGGGACCATGGCAGGCCAGTGGATTGCTGGACCATCTCCACGAGGCTGCATGGGCCACTGGCCCTCAGCTTTGTAGTTGCGCTGCTCTTGAGAAGCAATCTGGGGAGCATTAAAATTTTGATGGGCAAATGTGCAAAAGGAACTTGCTAACGTGCAAGGAAAAGGGTGCTTGTTTGCAAGCATCCTGGCCCTACCCCAGGTAGCCAGACATGGTTGTGGCTCACCTGATTAAAAAGTGGGAACTCTACTCAATGGGACACCCAGCCGACTGAGAGTGCAGAGGGCTGCTATGATGAGCACTGACTGATCACCTAGCACATAAGCCTATGCGCACATCGATGAGGCAGCTCCTAAATTAGGACAATTGAAGCGGAGGACTCATTCTAACTGTAGGGAGCACCAGTCCCATGCACTGGGGTCCTGGACTGAATAAAAAGGAACAATCAAGCTAAGAACAGGCATTCATCCCTTTCTGCTTCCTGACTGCAGATGCAATGTAAACAGTAGCCTCACATTCTTACCACCATGCCTTCCCTACTGTGGTGTGCTTACAGAACTTCAAACTGTGAGCCAAATAAACCCTCAGGCACAAGGTCTGAAGCTGCAGAGTTCATGACCTCACACAGCTTGTGTGTGTGTGTGTGTCTTTCCATGGGTTCTATGTTCCTCAAGAATAAGGGACATTCTGTCCAGTCCCGAAGGAGCAAGCCTCTCAGGTATAAGCTCAATAATGACCTTACCGACTATAGTAGAGGACCGTCAGCCTCTGTGAACGGCAGAGTAGGGATTATTTACATTGCTAGGGACCATGTGATTTGGGGGTTTCTGCAACATCTACTTGGTTTGCTACTGGGGTTAAGAGCAGACTACCCGATTCTGAGGAAACCTAAATTATAGTAGCTGGGGGTAGGAGATGGGTTGGTCTAGTATCCATGGCAGCTGACCTTTAATCTAGTATAACTCCTTGCCTTATTTGTTAAGGTAAGTTCATTAAAAGCATAAAAGCATATATCTTTTGATATGAGAGCAACAGCCAGAGATGGTACATGTGACAACAGGGGGACTCCAGACCTGAGAACCTGCATCACACATAATGATTGGACTCCATTACGGTACTGTAAAATCTCTGAGATGCCCCTGACACCAAGAGAATGAACAGCAGCTTCTGTCCAACTGGGGTGTCAATGTGTGCTGTCTGAAGAAGGTTCCTGACCACTGAATGTGTGGATTTGTGTGGAGACAGAATAGGGGCACATGGAGAAGGGTTGCCTTGCAGTCTTGGGATGCTGAGAGGTCCCTAAAACCTCCCAGCTCTCAAGTGCATGCTGGGAGGAAATCACCAGGGAGCTCCCAATAGCTCAAGAACCCTCAGGATTTTCACTGCTAGCAGCTCTTCCCTGTCAACACACAACTTCAGATTCACCTACCAGGCCTCTGACTCTCTCTGTGCATGTGATCCAGGAGCCAGCCTGGTCTCAGACCAATATGATGTACTCTATCTGCATAGGAACTGAAGGAAGTTCTGAGGAAAGGGGGACATGGGGACTCAACATACTGAATGTGTGACATAGACCCAGGCCTCTGGATTACTGTTTAATTAATATCATGCTGTAGTTAAACCTTGCTGGGAGTAAGCTTCCTATCTCAGACCCTGGGAATCTCTGTGTCCTGCCTGGTGACCCTCCTGTGTTCTGGAAGCCCTAGACATCAGTGGGACAGGCTTCTTTTTACACACTTCTGATGACAGTGGGAGAGGCCACCTTGTACCTTTATCACAGAAGGCCCATTCGGCTGTGGCATGGAAGGGAGGCCTAAGAAAGGTTTCCATGGTAACAACTCCAAGTCTATGACTGGTTTACTCAGGGCCTTTATGGCCCTGCCTATTACCACATGGAGAGATTCCCTACAGGCAGAGGGGAAGTGATCTGCCTCTGAGCAGACTACAGCATCTTTCTTGGGCTGTGAGGCCAACAGTGCAGCCCCAACCCCTAGCTGAAATCTATTAATATGATCATTGTTCTTTCCACTGCTCAGCTCTTCCAGCTGTACATATAAGCAGGGGTCAGTCAGTAATAAAGCTCAGAGCAGACATCACTTATGTGCTTCTCTTAGAATGTATAAATATGTCTCTCGGCTTCCCTGTCACCAGTGTCTATTAATAACGCATTATCCATGCTGCATCCTATATAGTGTATTATATCTACTATATACACACATGTATGTATATGAGATATGTTAACGTGGAGCAGGTTCTGCATTCTGGGGAAGTAAAAGAATACAGTCATAACTCTACTCTGCCAAAGGCCTACTAGTCCCACAGGACTTGTCTTCAGGAGACGGGGGTTAATGTGCATTTCTTAGGGATCCTTGATGAAGCAGAGACCCAAGAGATCTATTAGAAAAAAATCCAACAAATTTTCACAAGGGTGGTTTACTCTTTGAAGACAAATGGTATGCAGAAGCATTCTGAGGGACTGGCACCCAACACACCCTCCTGTGCTCCCTGCTGCTGTGTTGACTGATTCACTAAGTACCCTGGTCCTTAGGGTGGTGGTGGTGGGTTAGACCTTGTTGGGAAGACACTGCAAACTGAGGACTCTGGTTCTTATTAAGGATGGAAATGGACCTGGCTGTGTTATTAATCACTCTGAGATTTTCTTTTCTTTTAATAAACAAAAGGATCAATTTGGGATACCATGTACTTCCAGACAGACTGGAAAGAAACACTCAGAAGCTGCAGGAGCATGCTGTGCTCCATGGACCTTTCTCTAGAACCTTTTCTCACCCAGGTGCTAGAGTTTGCCCAACGGGACAGAAGGTTCCAGAAAGCAAAAGCAGTACCCAAGAACCCTCCCTGGCCTCCAGATAGACAAAGACTTCACTGGGGAGAGGTCAAGAATTGAAAATGAAAATCCAGGCTGCTGGGTCAGTCAAGACACACCATGGCTAAATAAAGAGGTGTTTGAAGCTTAAACTACCGTTGGTCTTCTCTGTAACTAAAAATGATAGAAAATCATCTAAATGAGTTTCCTTCCAAGGCATCCCCAATGGACTAAACTTTGAAGGAATGAAGCAAGTCAGAGTTAGCTTTCTGATCACATCTCTAGGTTCATCCAAGGTGCTGACTAGAATATGCAGCTGTGTTTTACGTCCCACTTCTAACATTCCATCTGGCCAGCACTTCTGTGGTATTAAGTCCAAATCCTTTTAAAACATTACTCAGTGTTAGGCTGCTAAGATGTTTTCTAGTTACAGTTTCCTGTATTTTTCTAACCTAAGTTAAGGTGATTCATTTCTGATGCAAGAGTCAGAATCTTTTAGATGAAGCCAGAGGGAAAAAAGAAAGCTTAAAATTATTTGGTTGAAAAACCTACCCCACTTCATATTGGAATTAAATTTTGATGTCAAAGAAAGTTCATGTCCTTGTGATTGAAATAACTCCCAGTCTCTGTTTACATCCCATGAAATTGGGTTTAAAGGAGTCTGAGGTTCTCAGATCCAAATGAGCCAACTCCATAACGCCCTGCTCTGTCTTTAATGTTGCAGGGCATTAGGTTTAAGGTGAGCTAACCCAATGTAAATGATGCCTGTCATTTAAAGAAACAGACTCTGAAAAAACAAATTTTGAAGTCAGAATTGAAAACAAATTAAAAATCCCTGTTGATCTTGTAAAAAGCTTTATTTAATCTAATTGTATGTGCTGTGCATGTATGCAATTTTTTATGTGTATGTCTGCATGGGTATGTGAACCATATGCATGCCATGCTCATGGCGGTCGGAAAAGGGCATCAGACACCTGGGAACTGGAGTTACAGATGGTCATGAGTCACCACCTGTGTGCTGAGAACTAAAGCAAGGTCCTGTGCAAGAACTTAAGTGTTCTCAACTGCTGAGATATCTCTCCAACCCCACTGATTTTTAAATTTATCTATACATATACACACAGAGGAACACACACACACACACACACACTTATATACATGTGTATGTGTGTTATATTTTTAAGTAAACGAAAGATTATCTCTAGCATTTCTCTTGTTTTCTTTTTAAACCTCAAACTTGTAGCACCCACACCCCTCTGACACTACTGCATCCTGCCCTGCATTTTGCATTCCATATAAGCACTTCACCTTGTGATCTGGCTCAGCAGCAAGCCTCTGATCCAGGCTCATGGTATCTAGGCAGAGGGGATGTGGTCATAGTAGTGTTCACTGCCTCGTCAGAGCACTCATGGGGTGTCCTCCTAGAAGCTCTGCAGCAGAAGCCACCTGCACTACCCTATCTCCCATCTACTCTTTGCAGTGACCTCGGGTCTCTGAGAGCAGAGCAGATGGGACCTGTATGTTCCTTCAAACACCATTTTATGATCGCAAAGCACTTCAGAGAGCAAGATAAAGGCCTCACATGGCATTCGGCATGTCTCAGTGTCTGGCAATGAGGTCACCAAATAAAGTTACCAACTCTTTTGAGTACATTCCACACATCTATCTATCTATCTGTCTTCTCCAGGATTGGATCTAAAAAGAAGTGGTCTGTGAAGGACCCAGCAGGAGTGGAGAAGTTAGCTCTCAAGGCTGGAGATGTGGCTAGATCCCCATTAGAGTTAGAAAGCACACAAGTCACCCAGTTGCCATGGGTATGAGAACAGTGGACTGTGGTATGACAAGCCTGGGGTACTCACTGAGGCCCAAGGCTCAGTTACTCATGAGCACTGTTACCTAAGCCTTCAAGTGGTAGTGAGTCAGGGTAGGATGAATCTAGATGCAACGTTCAACAGTGGGACCTGCAGGAGTTCCAAACTTTAGGTCTTTTAAATGTAGGGCCATCTAAGAGTTTAGACCCAAACCTGGCTAAAGAAAATAGGGACTAAGAATCTTCTTAAACCAGCAAGAAGCCCCCATCTCTGTATATAAATAGTGTCTCCTGAGTCCCTTCTGCTGCCAAATAGGTCACAAGTCCAGGCTGCCAGGCTGTAAGCAGCTCAGAGGGTACTCCGCCAACATTATTTCAGAGGCACAATTTACACTGATGCTTTCCATCCTTGTTGCATCTTTTTTCATTCCCAGCAAATGATGTACACTCATGTCTCCCAAAAGAAAGCTCCATCAATGTTGCCCACCTTCCGTTGTTGGATTCAAAGCTGGCTGCCACAGCAGAGACCACTTACCTCTTTCAAATTGTAGCTTTTTATATCTTTGCATAATTTCAGCTGCAACCATACACTCAATCTGCAAAGAAAAAGAAAAAGGGGGAAAAAAGCAGACATAAGGATTGTGAAACACAGAGGGTTAGAATGTCATACAACACAACAGGATCCTGCTAAACCAACCAAAGCCCACCACACACAGGCAACCAAACCTCGTGTTGTGTCCTCCCGCCCCCTTCCTGCCCCAACGTGCCTCATTCTCCTGAAGGTGGCCCTGTTTTGGGCATGCAGCATCTGGGCAGCTAATCGAAGTTTCTAGGCCTTCTTTGATTAAGAGCTCAACATACTGTTTCAGGCACTGGAAGAAAGAAAAGTGTGTAAACACCTGCACGTCCCGAATACCAAAGACAAAGTGGTGTGTTAAGCAAACAGCTAGCTATTAACTCTGAGAGCTACCTTCACTACTGGCCTGGCAACATAAGCCCATTGGTGCGATCCTGGTATGAATATTACAGGGATGACCAAGCACTTTCTGACTGGGTTTACAGTGTGGCCATTAAGATGAAACTCATACTCTGTACTGTCAGCTGCATGAGTCATAGGCCCTAGGGATGAACCTACACCTACTCTTCTGCTAAACAGACATCACATTAAACTACTTCCTAAGTTCTTATCGTCATTCCCATAGAGGAGCACATCTCTCCTCCTTTATCAGAGAGGTGTCTTCAGTGGACAGAGTGACTGATACAAGTCCTACAACATGGACAGAGGAAGGGATTTTAAAGCGTTTAGCTCTAAATAGGACAGCAATATCACAACCCTACTCACAAGGCCCAGGGATCATTGGAGAAGAAGAGGCAGAAAGACGGTAAGAGTCAGAGGGAGAGAAACAGCCTTTGGCAGACAGGACAGGGCAAGGAAGGGGGAAGGAAAGGGAAGGAAGGAGGGGAAATGGTAAGATAAAGGGAAGAAGGAAGAAGAGAGGGAGGCCAAGGCCAACTTCCCAATGCTGTTTTCCAGAGACTTGACATCATGTGCAAAATATTGCCCTGGACTCTAAAACAGTGTTTATCAACCTGTGGGTCACATGACTCCTTTGGAGGTCAAACAACCCTTTCAAGGGGTTGCAAGTCAGATATCCTGCATATCAGATATTTACATGATGATTCATAATAATAGAAACCTACAGTTAAGGAAGTAGCAATGGTGACTGCGTCCTGAAAACCCAGTACTATATTAAAATGTCAAGAAGGTTGAGAACCACCACTGTAAACACAGGCCCTTAGTTTGATATGTCTGTGGGGCTCTGATGAGGAATCTGGCTGGGAACATGGCGCACCTACATCTACCTGTAGATAAGAGATGCTTTGGAGTTCTGTTTGAGACACAGGATGGTGGAGTTATCAGAAACAAACCAATTGCCATCCTTGGAGGCTTTCCCAAGACAAGAGAGGGCAGGTAATCAGGGAAAAATAGGGTTACAATGCCACCCCACCCCCGACCTACACAGCACTGCTGACCGGCTATGAGGTGACACTTGGCTTGGTGGTGAAGCTCTATTCTACGTGTGGCAGGCATGGAAGTGGCATGCCTTGTCTGTGGTGGCCACGTGGAAAGGGAGCATAACCCTGCAGTTTTCGGAATCAGACAGACTCAGGCAATCTTGGATCCTCTCCCAAGGCCATGGAGACACACCCTTGATGCTTTTGGCCCCTAGTTCTCTACACAATAAGATCTGAATGTCTGCTTTACTAGGCTTTCTTGACAGAAGGAAATAAAGAATATCAACACCTGTCACAAATCTTAGTATAGCAGCTAAGTAAGCAGGGGCTGTTGTCTCATTTGTCTGCCTGTGCGGTTTGCCTTTTACAGTCACAGGCATAAAAAAGCCCAAATCCTTAGCAAAAAGATTATTGCTTTACTGTCTATAATTAAATCTGTCTAATTTGGTGTCTGGAAAGTCTCAGAATGTCTTAAACCAACAGCTCTGGCCAAGGTCCAATATAAAGACACAACCTCATTCTCTCTCAGTGGGAAACAGAACAATCAAACCAGGTAGGTGTGAGATGAATGTCCTCAGGGCTTCTCACAACCACACTGTTCAAAACTTGCTTGTGTCCATGAGCAGTGAGTCACGCTGGGTGACTGCAACCCCAAGAGCAAGCTCAGCAGACGGACGGATCGCATTTCTGAGCAGCACACACAGTGCTTATGTCATGGGAATATTGATTTGTTTACTACAGAGCGGCTGCTCCTGCATCCATCAAAACCAGCCACGGCCCTCTTCCAGATGTAAAGTGGGCTATGACTCATAAGCCTTGTTTTCCAATCTAATGGCAAAAAGATGTCTTAGAATGAGAACACACATACACACACACAAATCAGGCAACAAGAGAAACTTCTGTTATAATAAATAAACATTCTCCCAGACAGGAATTGACATACTCGCTGATATATCTATCATCTTTCTTTAATCAGATGCCTCCCAAATACCAGACTGTTGTCAGTCACTTTGCCTCTGTTAGCCCAATAAATAAAACCACAACTGTAGGAGGTGTTACCATTCCCATTCCCCACAGTGAAAGTGAGGTCCCCGGGAGTTAAACACCACCCAAGGCCACTTTCTACAAATGGAAGCACTAAGCCCCAGAGCACAAGGGCAGAGCTCCAAGGTTGGCTGTTTTTCATTTGTTTGTTTGTTTGTTTGTTTTGTTTTTGTCTGATTTCCCATTCTTTTTCTTCTTCAATTAACTCCTTAAACTGGGTTTGGTGACTCAGGCCTGTAATCCCAGTACTTTGGTGGATGAGGCAAGAAGATAATGAGTGCAATGCCACCCTGACTACACAGTGACTTCCTGTTACTTTATACTGATCATTCTGAACCAGAGAGCGAATCACTATAGAAAAAAACCAATACACACACCACACATACACACACCCCATATACCATATACAAACATAACCACACACACAGACACACCCCCACATACATACACACCACATACCACACACAGCCATACATACTTGCATACACATACATACCCCCACACATGCACACATGCACCACACACACAGAGACACGCACCAGACATACACATACTTCCCCACATACACCAGAGCAAAACAATATCACAAACACACACACACACACACACACACACGTACACACGTACACTCCTCCACACACTCACCAGAGCAAAACACTATGACAAAAAAGAACCAACACACACCACACACATGAACCACATATACCACCCCCCCACACATACCACATACAACACACACATATACATACTTACATACACACACATTCCCCTCACACACCACAGACACATACACACACACACACACACACACACACACACACACACACACACACACACAGACTCTTATAGCATAAGCAATCATTTTTGAAGCATCTCTGTTATATCAAAAAATGCTCACAGAACAAAGGCTACACCTACTAAATTGACATCTGAATCAACACAGAAGTGTGCTACATCTATTGTCAACCTGACACAAACTAGAGCCACTTGGGAAGAGCCAACCTCAACTGGAAAATTGCTTCAATTGGATTGCCCTGTGGCAATGAAGGACTGTCTTGATTGCCAAGTGATGTAGGAAGGCCTAACCCACTGTGGGTGTTGCTCTCCCTGGACAGGTGAACCTGAGCTGTGTGAGAAAGACAGCAAGAGCCAAGGAGCAAGCCAGTGAGCAGTCCCTCCTCCAAAGTGACTGCTTCAAGTTCTTGTCCTGTAAGAGTTCCCTCAAAGATGGCTGTGTCTGCAAGACAAATCCCTTCCTCTTCTGGCCATGCTTTAATCACAGCAACAGAAAACAAACTGAGACAGCAGGGTACAGTGTCACCTGGTGTCAGAGAAGGTTTGGGAGGTGAAAGGTTGGGCTCCGGGGAGGTTGGGCTCCGGGGACTGAGGAAAGCAGGCATGCAGAGCAGGAGTGTGGCCACAGAATGTTCCAGTCATTACAGTTTCCACTGTGGCTTCCAACTCTTCGAAAGAGTTGAAAAGACAGCTCTGCTGGTTGGCCTGGACATACCCACTGCACTAGAAGCTTCCTGCCAAGGAATAGTGGGCCACAGAACCTGCCCTGGAACTCCAGTTAGTCAACTGTGAATGCTTTGACTCTGAAGGCCTGCTTTGCTGCTAGCACCCCAGGGACAAGAACCCAGAAGACACTGTGGCTCACTTGTACCCTGGTGGCCCAGGTTAATCACAAGCTCTGGTTTACAAAGACCACTCAGGAGTAGATGTGGACAAAAGCAGTAGACCCTGAGAATAGCATTTTGGGAGCAAGGACCCTGGAATCAGAGTTTGGTTTGGATCCTGGATCAACCATGAACTACTCTTGTGACAATGGCCAGAACCTTCATCTGGGAGCTTTCTGCCCCAGGGTGTGGGGTAAGCTTGGTAGACATGGGAAATGTCACCCTCCAGCTTGTGAACTACAGAGACATGCTCCTCCAGGTAATGGCTAGAAGTTGGCCTTCTCCCAGTATTTCCAGAGCTAACAGCAAATATCCTCCATCAGATGGCAGGTTCTCTGAAGGCCAGGATGGCTTAGCATTCATCTTTCTGGCCAACAGTGCCAGTCAGTGGAGAGTTGGTGCTGTGCAGGCCAGCATACTGTTGAGCCAGAACCTAGCCACCAGCACGCTGTGTATCAGCTGACCTGAGACAGCAGCAAGCTACCCACACAGGCTTGCAGAGAGCTGAGCTGCAGATCCTGAGACAGGCACCCTGCAGTTGAGATGGTTGAACAGCACAGCCTTATTCAGACAGTTTCATGAGAACCTTGGATGGCCCTGGAAACCTAGTGCAAACTGCCCACACACCTCTTCTGGCAAAGAGCACAGCCCCCAAGACCATGGGCCCTGATGTCACTCACAATCTTCCAAAATAGAAAAGTCTCCATACATTAATGAAATAAAAATATAACCCAGACTTTACCTGTTTAAAAATAAGAAGGAAACTACACCTCTTTATTAGCCTGTGCTCTTGCCAAAATAGTGACTCTGTGTCTCCAGCGTAAATACAGTGTGTGCTCTCTGGCACCAAGCTCTACCACTGGCCAAGCGCACATCACCATCAGCTGCACCTGGTTCTTGTTGCTCGATTTGATCACATGGTGTACCTCAAGATTGATGGAAAACCCTGTTTCTAGTTGTGGTGTGACTCAACCCTAGCACACTTCTTTAATCCAAGAGCTTTCTGCTTGTTTATTGCAAACAGGATTAAAGTCAACCAAAGGTCTAGTGGCAGAGCAAGCAACCAGATGACAGGAAAACACACACACACACACACACACACACACACACAGAAAGAGTAAGAGGGAGTCAGGAAGATGGATAGAGAGACACAGGAAGTATCAGGGAGGGACATCCAGTTAGAGATGTTGTTTCAGATGGAATAGGAGAAAAGTCTCCTTCTGAGATGACAGCAGAAGGAGGTCAGCTGGCTGCTTTCTTAGGCTGACTGAGCTAGCAGGTTTTCACCCCAGCATCTGGCTCCTGAGTCTTTATTGGTAAAATCAAACCAGATTTAAAAGAGCTGGTGTTGCCTCTCACCATGGAGACATTTCATAATGACCTATTTGCCTCCTATAATTCCTTACCTCCAACTTTACCTTTTAAAATGACTTTAATTATTAAAACAAAAACTCTTACCCCCCCCCCAGCCTCACTCAGCCCACTAGTTCAAAATAGGTGACTATCCTGGTCAAGACATGAACAACCTGGTGTCTGAGGAGCATCTAGTGCCCAGTGTCAGAGGACATCTCAGTCTCACACAAGGTAGTGTGAGGGTGACAGTAATTAACCAGCATGCTCTTGGACCCTATCTCCATTCCTCAAGACACCCTGGTTCTGGTTGTTCACACTCATCGATTTTTCCTATGATGTGCATCTATACAAAGCTATCTGTCTTAGGATTTCCAATTGCTGTAAAGAGACATCATGACTACATCAACTCTTATAAAGGATAACATTTAATTGGTGTGGCTTATATTTTCTGGTTTAGTCCATTATCATCATGGTGGGACATAGTGGTATATATGGTGTGCAGGCAGTCAGTGTTGGAGGAGGAGCTGAGTGCCCCATATCTTAGCTTGCAGGCAACAGGAAGTTGTCTGTCTCACTGGGAGTGGCTTGAGCACATATGAGACCTCAAAGCCTGCCTCCATAGTGACCCATGTCCTCCAACAAGACCACACCTACTCAAGTAAGACCACATCTCATCTAGTGATGGTGCCACTTCCTTTGGGTGGGCCATTTTCTTTCAAACCACTACAGTACCTACACTCAATAACGTTTTGGAAACTATTTGCTAGAATCTTCTCTGACAAGGGCAGGCTGACCTCACATGGTAAGACAGATTTTGTTCCTCCAAACCCTGATAAACCTACAAGTAAATGGGTACACAATCCAGGTGTACTAATGGACTCCTCACAGCAATACGGATAGCTAGATCAATAAACAAACTCACAGTGCCTGGGGAAAACAAGAATAAGTTTAAACCCCAGATGATGGAGGAGTCACAAAGCTTCAAAGAGGGAAACCAAGGCAGTGGCAGAGTTTAGTAATGGAGGTACTTTGTGACTGAGGAGAGAGGAGGCAGCTGTTAAGGTTGAGTTTTGAAGTCTCTAACATGGAGGGTATTTATTCTCCATATCCAAAGGAATGTTCCAACTGTCTCCCTGCACAGCAGCCTACATTCTGTCAGAACCTTTCCCTGCCTGCTTGATCTTGAGGTTTAGCAAGACTAGCCCAGAGATTGAAGACAGGTTCCAGGCCCCTGGCTGAACCAATCAATGGGTCAACCTTAGCTAACTCAGGGGTCAGTACCTAAGGCTAGGTCTCTCCTGGGAAAGAATAATTCTTTTGGATCAATTCCTGGTGACATTCCTCTTCCTCTTCTTCATCTAGGGACATGTGGTTATGAAACAACCATTAAGTCATTCTATCTGTTCAGAGACTCTATTGGGATGAATGTAAAAGGGCCCAATCCTGGTATAGGCCATGGACTTGGGCAGTTGACATGCACCACAGAGACACAGGTTGGGGCAAGAAGGAAGAGTTAGTGACAGAAAAGAGACAAAGCCCATGAATCTTGATGATCAAAGAAAAGCCACATTCCGGGATATGAAGACCAGAGACCAGAAAGGGGAGGGAGTCTGAAACCTTGCCAGGCTCCGCCAATTGGTGGTAGAGTGCAAACTCATGACACCACAGCTGGGTGCCCCTTCTGCAGTGATTTACAGTCCCTACACAATGGCCAGCCACAGATGTCAGCCTGACCCATGCAATCAAGAGGGTCTCATGGGAAAACATCTTCCTTTTCTGGATCCAACATTTCTATTCCCTGTGCAGCTCTGCTTGAAGCAGGGTGCCTTCTTTCAGGGTAACACAAATGTATTGCTTTCCTGTCTGTCTCGTTAGGGGTCCTAACTCCTCCATGGCTTATCCACACTGCTGTGATCCCAATGACCCCAGAAGAGGAGACGATGTTTAACTGACATGGCATGTTGACACTGCCTTCCCTTCTCAGCAAACACACAGGTGCCCCTATTGCTTCACACCCCAGAGCTATAGACAAGATACCTACCTTCAACATTCTCAGTTTTAGAAGACAGTTTGGAGGAGAGAAAAAAAATCACAGCTGCCACAAAATGACACTGGTCTTTGGTACCTGTGGCCTGGCTTCTTTGAGAAAACAGTCGCTGTTTCTTATATTCCTTGAATTCAAATGAAGCCCTTGGCATGAGTTAGAGTTGTTTATTTTACAAGAATTCTCTAGACATGGAAACAGAAACAACAATGAAAGGGAAGGCTTGGCACTAAGGCAGGAAGGCAGGAAGAGCAGTATTTCAAGAGGAAAGTGCATGCTCTGACTCTGACAGCTCTAGGTGGCTAGAGAGAAGTAGGTGGGTCTAAAAGCACTCCTCACAGTAGAGAGGTGTTGGGGGACTGATGGGAGCTGTAGGAATGTCCCCTCAGGCAATAGAAAGGCACTCTGCAGGAAGCTAACTTTTCAGCACAACTTGACAAGCTCCAGTCCTAGCTCATCCACTGGCTGAGATCTGAACCCTGCATTAATCAGATGAGGAGAGCCACTCCATCATCCTCTAGTCTCCAGGTGCCCACACTGCTCTCCCCACCACCTGAAAATATCAAAAGCAATTTCCTTTCCAGCGGGTTGATGCTAGTTTTTTTCCGGGGCTTTAATGAGGCACTTGTCTTTGAATGTGAGCTCAGAGAGATCAAATCACTTAGGTGCATGTCCTGAGCCTTTATCGATTAGCTATTATGAGTCCTGCACTAAGCTATGTATTGAGTGTATACATAATGAACCACAACATCTCCTTCCTTCCAAGAGGCAGCCTAGAACCACTGGGAATGAGATATGGGCTTAATTAAGGCTCAGGCTCCTAGATCTGAAAGGGTGCAGGTCCTGGGCAGGAGAGTGAAGACACCCAGGCAGGGAGGTAGCAAAGACTTTCTGCTGTGTTCTCATCTCAACTCCACAGCAGTTGCCCACGCTCTGTAGCCAGAATGGCAGTCAAATCCAGAAGCAATGGGGCTTTTCAAAGAGCAGTCTTAGGAGCTCTCTCCCCACTTCTATACCTTTAAAAGTAACCAGTGTTTTATTTTGCCATCCAGCTATTATGTAACTGACAAACACAAACAGCATATTTAAGGTTCTGACTTGATGTTGCCATGTATGTGTAGATGTGTGTGTGTGTGCAGTGTGCAGTGGGTGCATTCATGTGTGTGTGTGTGTGTGCGTGTGTGTGTGTGTGCGTGCATGCAGAAGACAACCTCAGATGTAGATCCTCATCTTCCACCTTGCTTCAGACAAGGTGTCTTTATCACTTTTCCTTTGTGTAAGCCAAGCTAGGTGACCCACAAGTTTCCAGGGGCCTTCCTGTCTCCACCTCCCATCTCCTGGTAGGAACACTTAGATGATAGACATTCATGTTATGTTCTTGGTTTTATGTGAGCTCTGATGATCTGAACTCAGGTTTTCACACTTGCAAGTCAAACACCTGTTCATACCAAACCTTCTCCCCAGCCCTGCACTTAAATATTGTGGTGATCAATTAAGCATGCATTGTGTCCTTTGGACTTTGGGTTTATTCTTGCAGTTGTCATTGCTTTGTTTTGCTTAAGCTGAAATAGTACATCTGCACACTCAGTACAACACTCCAACCCACTCAATACATACATCAATGTCAAGTCACAGTTGCACCTTGCACCTACTGAGCAACATTGCCTAGTCTTTCCTACTCTATCAATGTTTCCATCACTCCTATTCTTTGAGAATAAAAAATCAGAAAAACCATGTAAATAATGTTCTCTTAGTTTCCAATCTACTCTTTTTTGTGTTAAGTGTTTTGTTGCTGTTTTCTTTTGCGATAGATAAACATTATAAGTTTGGGGCTGTGGGGAGATGGCTCAGCAGTTAAGAGTACACGCTGCTCTTCCAGAGGACCCAAATTTGATTCTCAGCACCTACATCAAGCAACTTAAACTGCCCATAACTCCAGATCCAGAGATCTGATGATCACTTCCAGCCAACGTAGTGCGCGCACGCACGCGCGCACACACACACACACACACACACACACACACAGGAAAAAAAATATTATTCAAGTCTGAGTTAGACCCAAACCCAAACCTCTTAAGTTAGGAGTCTCTATATTCATGTTGGGAACAGATCATTCTGGATACTGCATAAGACACTCTGACCTCAAGTTTTAGACACTATCATTCAGCATTCAACAGGGAAAGACGGCACTAGTGGTGGCATATTGTAGCTGCACACAGTCCTCGGGTTAGCTCTGCCACAATGTCAAGTGTGTGCTTATCATTAAGCTGAAAATGAGGTATGGAAAAGCCCCTTGTATAGCAAGAAGAATGTGTGCTATGCTGGGTGTTTTAATTGGGCATTTTTAAATTGTGCCACCGGTTTCTACAATTCTGGTTAAGTGATGGCTTGTGCACCACAAGTCATTATCACATAAAGATTCTACTCTGGCTGCCTTTGTGTGAGTCTGAGTAGACACGTAGGCTCCCACAATGCTTAGCCCAAGTGTGGCTTGGTGTGCCTGAAGTGAGTAGCAATATTATTGAACAAGTGCTTGAGCTGAGAGACCAACCAGGGTACAGAAGACACACTGGCACTGGGCGATGGTTGTCATCTGCTCTGCTGGGTACTCCCCAAGGCACAGCTTGCAGGACACCAGCGGGTCGAGGGCCAGGTCCCAGGTGGGCCGGTACCTGGCTGTGGTCATCGCAGAACAGTCTGAAATGAGAGAAATGTACACACTCAAGACTTCCTTCCTGGGGCTTCCACAGAAACACAGTGAGAATCACACATGGTTATGATGCGACTAGGTTGGGGGAGGGGACAACAAGTGACTGTGGATGGAGACAATGTCCTCTGGGGAGGTTTATCCAGAGGTCCCCACTTAGGTCTGTGGGTGGTGACTTTACATTGTTAATCCTCAAAATTAGAAAGGACCACACAGCCCCGTCCTTCCCATCAGCCTTCTGAGGTGCATTTGATAAGGGTTCCTGCTAGAAGGGTAAAATTTAGCAACCGCAAAAGTGAGGCTTTGGTTAAGGTAGTCAACTGCTTGGGTTTAACTCTTGCCCAGTTGGTGGTGGAGAAACACCCAAGGGAAGGGACCCAATGAAGCCCATCTCTAAGGCCCTTCTTGCCCTCATAAGTCATGCAGCTTCCCCAGTGGGCTAGCAGCAACACCCTTAATCCTGTGTGCTTCTTAAGCAAGTCCATTTTCTAGAATGTTCAGTTCTGGACAGCAAAGATGTTTGGGAGACAGGTTCACTTGAGGGAGTCCCATGTGTACAATAGACTTTCAATGACACTCACTCCCCATACCGCAGGAATTTGTCACCCCAAGCCACCTATGGCTGGTGTCCTCTGCCCATCTGTATTTTCCTGTTGCATAGAGGCTATGCTGCATTAGCCATGCTGGCTGTTTGATCATCCATGATGAGTCAGGCAGCCAAGATGACTGTGGGGAGATGGAATAGGTGGACCTTTCAAGCTGTCAGGTCAACACTGGTCTAAAGATTCCCCCAGAGACTCCTTGATGTTTGCATAAACAAACTCTTGCATTTGGAGATCTTAATTCTCACTTCCAGCTTTTGCCACTCAATTTTAAGTATCATGTACTCACCTGGTACCTGTGGTACTTAAATATGTGCTTTGCAATCCTAATAATCTGCTTTCCGAAATCATGCTTGTCAAGCTTGAGAACATCTGTCATGTCTCACCTTAAGATCAACACTGATATAGAGGTGTGACACATATCCTTCCTCATCTAAATCCCATTCTGAATGAGGCAGTCAGACAGGAACCCCTGCATCCCCCAAGTGAGAGCAGACAGCAAGGGCTGTGTCCACTAGCATCTTCCTTACAGAATAGGGCTGTACACATAACAACAAAGACATATACAGGAAGGCAAAAGGAAAGAAATATGACACCACTCTCAGCAAACAATGGTTCCAGAATCCCAGAAAGACTCAAAGATACCTGAGGGAATTTCTTACATTTTTGATCATTTACATTTTGGGGGGTATGAGCCTAGCCTTGAACAGCTGAGCTACCCCTACAACCCCTGAGGGAATTTCTAACCACAGATCTTCTGGTCTGATCAAAACCTCCCTGGAAACACCATCAATGCCATGCCCAAAGGTGTATCCCCTGGTTGGTTCCAAGTCCTGCACCAGTTACAAAGACTGACACAGTTCAATCAGGGGAGAGAGAGAGCTTAACAGTGGTGCAGAACCCTTACCTGGGGCAGAACCCTGTATAGTTTGGATTCAAACCATCACCCATAAACAGTAGCATGCAGGTCCTTAACCCATGTGGGCTTCAGTCTGCACATGGGTGCAAAAGGGTTGATAATCCCACTTTATGGAAGGATGGGATAAGGAGGGAATCCCTGTGACATCTCATGTCAACATGGCTTCATTATCCTAAGGCAGTGGTTCTCAACCTTCCTAATGCCACAACCATTTAATACTAGTTCTTGTGTTGTGGTGACCCCAACCATAAAATTACTTGGTTGCTACTGTATAACTAAAATTTGCTACTGTTTTGAATAAATATCTGATATGCAGGATATCTGACATGCAACCCCCAAAGGGTCATGACCCACAGGTTGAGAACCACTGCTCTAAGAGAAGAATTCCACGATGCCACCATGTACTGCAGTTGGTTTTCTTCACATTCAGTCAAGGCTCACTGGGTGCCTGTGTGCAAGCATTCAGTTAGGACAAACTGCTAGTTGGATCAGATACCAGGTGCCCTTGAGAGAGAAAGTATCTCAGACTCAAAGGGAGCCAGAAAAGTTGCAAACATACAAGACAGGTAAGATACAATGGCCAGTGGTGTGGCAACATGGTAGACACATGAGGAGCCCAGACCTTTGGAGCAGAGCCCAAGGACAAGGGTGTGGCCACAGTGCTCTGGAATCATTCAGGAAAAGGGGCCACCAACCTGCATTCAGGACAGAAAATGGGTGTCAGCAGCTCCCCAGGGCAATCAATGGCTGCAATTAACTTACTCTGCACTTGTTACAAAGGACTCATAGACACAGATAAAAGGACTTTCAGACAGAAGAAGCAGAGCCTTTAAGATAACTTAAACATATGCGCTAATGCAGCCAAATCTGACAGCACAAGAGGGTCTTGGGGGTTCTCAGCCTTTGGGGGTGCAAGAGGACACTGTGACTATGGAGCTCTCATGTAGAGTATATCCATGTACCCTGAATGTATTATAACTATTCAAATGCCAACTTTTTTTTTCTTGAGGTCTAGAGATCACGAACTATAGTCTGCTGATTACCTGCTTGTTTTATAGCTCTCTGCGTCTCTTCCTGTTTAAATCTCTAATTTTGATTTCCAAGTTTACACTTTACCCTGTACAAAGTGACTGTGTTTTGATTAAGGAGGGTCACTAGTCCTAAAGGGTTCCCAAACCTTGACAAGACTCCCTCTAGCTGAGGACTGGTAGGTTTCATACTCAAGCCTGGAAATGTCCCCAGGGGGCAGCCTCTGCTAACTGATTTCTTAGTTCCAGACTGTGGAGGTGCGGAAAGGTTGTGGCTGACATTGCCATATAGACACAGGGTCCAGATTTTGCACACACTGCAGCAGGGCATTCACGGAGGAGGAATTAAATGGGCCTGGGTTCGATACTCTGCCACATACTAGGCTATTTGGGAAGGCTGAGGAACCTCCTATCTTTTCTCTTTGTAAAACCCATGTACAGTCGCTGAACATATTGAACTGCTGAGGGAGAAGACAGATAATGCCAGCTTGGTAAGCAAGAGTCACTAGCATGTGTCATGAAGAACAACCCATTAAGAGTGCAAGGGGAAGAAAAGATGACAGCAGAGAAGGGATGGGACAAGTAGCCCTTGCAGAACATTTTGTCAAACAGCTGGGGCCTTTGCAAGAAGCAAACACCAAAACCCCGCTTGGTCAATTAGCTGTACAACACGGCCCAAGATGGCATATCAGCCCACGTGGGTTACGGAATGCAGCCAATGAGAGTTCAACTGAATCCCCAGAGGCCTGAATTCCCAAACCCATACCCTCTATAGGCTCTGACCTGGGAAAAAGCAGTTTCCTGCTTCCTCCAAGGCCTCTGTCTCAGGCCACTACCCTATCCCATCTTAGTTGTTCCCAAGACTTGACTCTCCTCCCCTGCCTCAGCACCATTCCTCTTCCTGTTTACAGTCTCCCTTGGAGCAGCTAGCAGGGTCTGAATATTTGACTTCCTCTCTCGCCTGTCAATGCTTTCCACTCGATCCCTAGACAATGAGTCTTTCCACTGTACTGGGTATGGGACAGGTCAGCCTCTGCTCTTACCTCTGGGCCTGCCACTGCCCTGGGCCCTGGCCCTGGTCCATAAGCAACTTCAAAAGCAAATCAGATTCCCATTTGAGGTGCCACTTCTATATTGTTTCCTGTTAGATATAAAGATCTTGAACTGCACACAAAATCATGCTTCCAATAGCGACTTCAACGGGACATAAGGAGGAAAAAAATGCCTATATTGTGTGAGTCTGTCAGAGCTTTTGCTCACACACACGAGATGCCCTGAATATGACTTTGTAAGCACTACACAGCTGCAAGCTTATAATTGGAATTTGCTAAAGGATGGGCCATAAAAGAAAGAAAAAAAAAAAAGTCTTTGTTTCCCTAATGTGAATGTCAAGTCCTAGGAAACAACAAACTATTTTAAGGGTGTCAGGTCAATTACAAGCATGATTCAAGAAATTTGAAATGTTTATAGGACAAGATATTTATTAGGCACAACTGAAGTTACACAAAGATCTGTGCACTGTTGTGGGAGAGGAATGCACTCAAGGACAAGGAAGAGTTAAAGAGACAAACTGTCCACCATGGAAGATAGCATTCTAACAGATGGTTGATGGGCATACCTGTCAGAACCAACTCGTCCCCAGGCCCTACCACCCAAACATCGTCACAGCAAAGTTGTGGGAGGGAGGGAAAAAGGGTGTCGTTTATCTTCCCCTTATCTCATGACCTTCTCAAACAAGTCACATTCCCTAGGCAGAGTCCTGCCTGGCCCTGTTTCTTCTCAATCAAGCCCCCTTGCCATCCCCACTCATGCTTTTCTAAACTGTAGCTTCCCCCGGGCTCGGCTTCTGTGGCCAGTGCTCTAAGAAGTCATTATGAGATCTCTGAATCCTCAGTTATCTCTTTCCCTTCTCAGAAGTGTGGCCCATGGTGCTTTCCCATTCTCTGGAACAGTGGTAGCAGAAACAGACCCGAGAGCCTGAGAGATCAATTTGACAGGACCTACCATCCTAGTGGCCAAGCTCCCAAGAAGCCTGTGAATGACTATCTAAATTGGGTTAATGGAGGCAGCAAGATCCTATCTGTGGGCAGAACCACTCCATGACCTCAGGATCTTGACTAGATAAAAGGGGAAAGTGAGTTTAGCACACAAGTATTTGCTATCTGCTTCCTGGCTGGATGGGACGCTGCCATACCCTCCACACCATCATAGGCTATACCCTTGAACTGTGGGCCAAAATATACTCTTTCTTCCTTGAGTTGCTTTTGTCGGGTATTTTGTTAAAACAAGACAGGTAACTACACAACCTGTTAGTTTGCAATTTCCAAGCCAGACCTACTAAGTCAGACCCTCGAGAGTGCAGCCCCAGTAGGCTGTGCTGTCAGAAGCTTTTAGGTGACCAGGACTCACCATATAGTCTGTACATCACCAGTCTGCATCAT